TCGCTTGAGCCCAAGAGTTGGAGGTTGCTGTGAGCTGTGATGCCATAGCACTCTACCCAGGGGGATAGCTTGAGGCTCTGTCAAAAAAAAAAAAAAGAAGCTGGCATTTGAACCCAAGTCACAGAGGGGGAAGCCAAGGCCCAAAGACAGTGAGGGCCCTGGTATCCTCGGCCCCATGGGGCCTCTGGCCCCAGTGACCCCTAAAGCTCAGGCACCTGTGGCCTGACCCTGCAGCCCATCCTGGACTTGAGCCTCCTGGTCCCAAGCCTTGTGTCTATGCTCTGGGCTCACACATGGCAAACAGAATCCTAGATGGATGCGTGAAGGAAACAAGACTGCTTGAGTCAGGCAGAAATACTAAGACACATAAGCAAAGCAAATGACAAAGAGGGGAGGGGGAGCCTTTTAATCCCCACCCTACACAAGGCCCTGACTCCTTCCCAAGTGAAGCTGCCTTCATTCTCTCAATCCAACCAGCTTCCTATCTGCTGGTCAGTGGGGTCCAGCCCTACCCACCACCCCCTCCTCCTAGGAGCCCTTCCTTTTTGCATGTGGCTTCAAGGACCATCTGGTTTCCCTTCCTCCACCCTGACCTCCTACTGTCAGGGGCTCCTTGTACTTATGACTCCCAGATTTTCCCGGCCACTCTCCTCCCCCACACTCCAGATCCAGCTGTGCACAAGATACCTCCCTGGGTGTCTGAGAAGCATTTCACGCTTCCCATAGCTGAAACTACACTTTTGATTTTTGTCCCACCCCTGCCCCCCATTTTCACTCTCAGAAAATGACACACCATTTGCTCTTTCATTCAGTGGATAAGTCTTAGAGTCATCCCTGGCTGGTCATTTTCTTGTCTCCCCATATCCCAACCCACCAGTGAATCTGGCTGGTTACACTTCCATCCCCCAACACCCTGGCCTAAGACACCAGCCTCTCCTACCTGGGCCCCATGGCTGCCTTTCTGTCTCACATTTTAGCAAAATAATCTGTTAAAAGTAAATCAGGCTTCCTGATATTGGGAGACTATAATTCAGACCAAACTTCCCACTAAAAAAGCCAGGAACATAGAAATGTAGAAAATATTTGCTTAAAGGCATCAGAGGCAGTAAATTGCAGGGCTGGAGAGAGGCAAGGCTGGTATTTGGAGCAGTTTTTCCCTCCTGGTGACTGCTTATCCTAGATGAGGGAGCTGAGAGGCAGAGCAGTGCTCTTAAAAAAATGGACGGGGGGTGGGGGGGTGGGGGTGGCTCGGTGCCTGTGGCTCAAGTGGCTAAGGCACCAGCCACATACACCTAAGGTGGCGGGTTCGAATCCAGCCCAGGCCGCCAAACAACAATGATGGTTACAACCAAAAAATAGCTGGGTGTTGTGGTGGGCGCCTGTGGTCCCAGCTGCTTGGGAGGTGGAGGCAGGAGACTCTCTTGAGCCCAGGAGTTGGAGGTTGCTGTGAGCTGTGATGTCACAGCACTCTACCAAGGGGGGACAGCTTGAGGCTGTCTCAAAAAAAAAAAGGGTGGGGGAAGCTGTTTTGTTTTGATTTGTTTCGTTTTGTTTGCACAGCTAACCACACAATCCACACAGCAAAAAGACAACCTTCAGAATGAGAGCAGATATTTGCATGCTATGAATCCAACAAAGGACTAATCAACAGGTCTACAATGAACTCAAGTGTATCAACAAGAAAAGAGCAAACAACCCTATTAAAAACTGGGCAAGAGACATGAACAGAAACTTTTCCCATGAGGATGGACAAATGGCCAAGAAACACATGAAAAAATGCTAATCATCCCTAATCATCAGAGAAATGCAAATCAAAACCACCTTGAGCATCACCCAACCCCAGTGAGAAGGGCCCACACTACAAGGTCCCAAAGCAACGGATGCTGGTGTGGATGTGGAGAGAAGGGAACACTTGTGCCTTGTTAGTGGGACTGCAAACTAGTCCAGCCTCTATGCAAAGAAGTATGGAAATTCCTCAAAGAACTAAAAGTAAACCTACCATTTGACCCTGCAATTCCACTACGATGCATTTACCCAAATTAAAAAGAAAAAGACCTTTTACCACGGGAACTTTTGCACTAGAATGTTCATAGTCTCTCAGTTCACAGTCACAAAGGTGTGTGAACAACTCAAATGTCCATCAGCGCATGAATGGATCAATAAAGTATAGTTTACACATAACAAGGAATACTATTCATCCCTAAAAAAAGATGGAAAGTTTGGATGGATCTGGGGTTGTTTGCTCTCAGATTGTAACAATCTGACTGGATTTGGAGAGCATTCCTCTAAGTATCACAAGATTGGAAAAACAAGCATCACTTAGTACCAATTTGGAACTAAGAGATTAACAATCACAGATCTACACAAGAGAAAATCTCAATTAAATATAAGAAGGGGAGGGGAGGGGGGTCAGATTGAGGGAGGGTGAATGGTGGGATCACGCCTATGGTGCATAATGCAAGGGCACATGTTGGATCTATTAAGTATAGAGTATAAATATCTTAACACAATAATTAAGTAAACGAGATGAAGTATATATTAACCAGTGTGATGCAAGCGTTCCTAATTCTATATGAAATCAGCACATCGTACTCCATAAATGCATTAATGTATACATAAAAAGGGGAGTAGGAGAAGGGGGGCTCAGTGCTTCCCACCCAGTGGGTATAGTACATGGATGTATATGACACATTCCCTGGGTGTGGGTAGCACACAGCTACAACTCTGATTTGCACCTGTTCATGTATAATTATATAATCTAATGGCTTGTACCCTCAGATTAATCTAAAATTTAAAAAAGAATAAACAAGCAGATTGCCTTTTTCAGGACACACCCTCTGGGCTCTGATAAGATCATGAACAAAGTAGCCTGTGATGGTTTTTTGGGTGATTCCACCTTGGGTAGGAGCACACACCCTAATCCCTTCTCAGAGACAAAGACTATAAAGGGCCTGATAATCACTCCCTAGTGGAGGAGGAACTACATTAATTCATTTGTTAATGCGCTCATTAACTTTGAAAAGATGTTTTTCCATCTACCAACTGCCAGCCCTGTGTAATCCTCTAGATTTAAGACCACAAAGAGCCCACGTGGAGACTCCCTAGTGAATTCTTCAGTTCTTTCCCCCTTCCAGAAGCTCTGGTGCTTTTTACTTCTTCTGTATTCCTTTCTAACTTCTAATAAAAGTCCTATCTTACCACTGGAAAAAAGAAAAAAAAAAAAGAATGAAAGGTTCAGCTCCTATAGCTCAGCAGCTAGGGTGCCAGCCACGTACATCAAAGGTGGTGAGTTTGAGCCCAGGCCACCTGCCAAACAACAACAACAACTACAACTAAGAAATAACTGGGCATTGTGGTGGGCGCTCGTAGTCCCAGCTACCCGGGTGGCTGAGGCAAGAGAATCGCTTAAGCCCAAGAGTTAGAGGTCGCTGTGAGCTGTGACACCACTGCACTCTGCCAAGGATGACATAGTAAGACTCTGTCTCAAAAAAATGAAAAAAAAAAACCTTTTTATTTTATTATTATTATTATTATTTAGAGACAGAGCTT